GGAAGGGACTATGACTACGATCACTTTATTGTGAGGAAACTGAGGCACAGAGAGCTTAAATAACGTGATGGGCTGAACTGTGTTTCCCCCAAGTCCATATGTTGACGTCCTACCCCCAGCGCCTCAGAATGTGACATTTGGAGATAGGGTCTTTATGGAAGTAACTGGCGTCCTTATAAAAGGGGGAAATTCAGAAATGGAAACGCGGGGAAGACGCCCAGTGAGCGTGAAGACAAGCCAAGGGGAGGCCGGGCGGATTCTCTCCCAACAGCCCTCGGGGGACCCAACCCTGCCTACCCTCGGTTTTGGACTTCCAGCTTCCGGAACTGGGAGACAATAAGCGTCTGCCGTTGAAGCCACCCGTTTTGTGGCACATGGTTATGGTGTCCTCAGCAAACGAGTACGTGTCACTTGTCAGCTGTGGCAGCTGGACCCGAGCCCGGGCAGTCCTCCCTCTGTGGCTCTCTGGCTGCTTTTCTCTTTGCTGCTGTCCCCATCTCTCTCTGTTTTGGTCTCTTGGTCTCCGCTTCACTCTGCCCCGATCTTTGTTTTCTCCCTCACTCTCCCTGCCTCCCTCCTTCCCTCCTCCCGGCCCTGCAGGCGGAGCAGGGCCCCACCGGAGCCTCTCAGCTCCCCCTGCCCCCTCCAGCTGCTCTTCCTCCCAGAACACCCTTCCGTAATTAAACCGCGACAGACTGAGGCCCAGATGCCAGTGTCCCAGATGCCCGCCCTGGCTTCTTGGGGTCTCGAGAGAGCAGCCAGCGCCGAGAAGGGCGGGTGGAGCGCTTCCCCCTCCAGGAGGAGCCCAGCTGCCCCGAGTCCCGAGGGCTCTGTCCTGCCCGCTCCACACTGCTGTGCACACGGGTGCCTTGGGGCTGAGTGGCCGGCAGCCCAGCTGCCCCACCAAGCCCGGCTGGCGCATGACACCCGCCATGGGCACCGGCAGCTGTTCCACCAGTGTCACCCTGCCACTTGGGCTCTCTTTTTTCTGCTCCTGGTTCCTGGCTTCAGGGTCTGCAGACCAGTCTTCCTGCCCTCCAGATCCCAGAGGGTCTTTACCCTCTGTTGCCCCTGTTTCTGGGGTCCCTGTTCCTTTGAGCGGGAAACAACCCCACTCCCTAAGCTCCAAGGAGCACCATGGTCTGCCAGCCCGGGTCCCCGTGTTGAGTTGGGGGCGGGGATTGAGACGGAGTAGGGATAGAGGAAATCAACCTGGAATTCTGGGGAAGGGCCAAGGAATGGACACTTTGGAGGGGCCTGCCCACCCCAGCCCTCCTCTGAGACATCCTTACCCACAGTCATGGCCGTCGCTGGCAGCCATGTTTCCTTGGGCAGTGCTGATTGGCCAGTAGAACTGGACACCTGAGCTGAGCCAATCGGCTCCTCTCCCCTGGGAATCTGGGGGACCCTGAGAGACTGGCCAGGCTGGGTACAGAGCAGGGAGAGTAACCCGCCTGGGTTTGTTTGCCCAGGACAGGAGCCCAGGGGGCATGGGGAGTGTGAACTAAAATAAAATCTTAAGGGTGCCCCCCACAGGCTAACCGAATGGACCCCCTCTTGGCCAAGGGGATAACCTAAACCTCAGTTACTAGCCACGAGAAGGGAGGTCAGAGGTGCCTTATCATGGCCCCCTCCCTTCTTGGAGATATCCTTTGTAACTCATTATTAGGCCTACGGCTATGTAAGACAAACCTGCAAGTCCTCAAAACGATGTGCCAATGCTGGGTGTAAGTGCCACTCCAGGACTCTCTCCAGGCCCCAACAAGCCTCCAGCCATGGACCACCTCGTTAAGCAAGTGGCAGCTGGTTTGAAAACACCCCTGGAAATGCCCAGCACTGAACACTGCTCCCTTTGGGACGGTCCCCCATGCTAGGAAGAACAGCAAGCTGAGCAGCCCAAGTACCACTTACGAAACGTTGCACATCATGTTTCCCCAGATAAGCCTGGTGGTTGCAGGGGTGGCCTAAGTGTGCTTCCCAAGGGGGGGTGCTGGAGGAGTTGCGGGGGGTAGGCCTGTGCTCAGAGGAGCAGAGAGGGGCTGCCCTGGCTCTGATGGCTCCCCTGCCTTCCCTGCAGTCCCCGCTTCTAGGTTCAGCGGCACACTCTTGTACCTTTCCATGTTAACAAGCTTCCCTGCTCAAGCTTGTGTGAGTGGGTTGCCTTTTGCAACCACCCAGCCTCCAGATAAAGCTCTTAAGAATGTAAATCAGATCACAGTGCTCTTCTGCTGCGATCTCTCCAGCAGCTTCCCAGAGCTGCAGCGTTGCTCCTTGCAGCTGTCCGGCTCGAGGCCGAGTGACCCGGCCCTGCCTACTTGTCCAGCTTCCTCTCCTGCTGTGGCCCCAGGACCCTCTCAGCCCCAGGCCTCCAGTCTCACTGCGGCTCCTCCGGCACTCCAAGCTTTCCTGCCCCAGGGCCTTTGTTCTTGATACGCCTTCTGCCTGCATGCTGTCCCCCTAGATCTTTGCATGGCTGGCTTGTCCTCATCGGGTTTTGGCTGGAATGCTCTCTCATCAGAGAAAAGGCCCTGCTAAGCCTGTCAGAGAAGCCTTGCTCACCCGCACACTCCATCTCAGCACCCCATTTTATTTTATTCAGGGTGCACACACCATCTGTTGTTTGTTTATTTGTTTACTTGTTTGCTGTCTGTCTCCCCTGCTGGAGTGAAAACTTCACGTTTTGTGCACCACAGAATCCTCCGTGCTTCCATCAGAGCCTGACACGTAGTAGGTGCTTAATGAATGTTTGTTGGTTGAATGCAAAAATGAGGCAGGAAGGGGCCAGAGTTTGATTGTCAGGAGTTTGGCCGGGTTCTTGGAAGACAGTTAAGGGACCCATCCCCTTCTCTCCCACAGGGCCCCTACTCTTGGCCATAGGCTGCTCCGAGCTTGCAGATGACAGTTCCAAAGGTTGCCAAGCAGCGGGTGGAGACCAGGCTGCTGGGCTGCGGGAGGTGGGGAGTGTAGCCAAGGTGACTCGGTTGTGCCTGGGCAGAACTCTGGCTCCCTTCTGGGCTGACACACACTCTGTCCACTGGTCTAGTGTCTGTTCTCTCTCTCGTGGGCCCCAGGATGATCTCCCCAAAAGGATCCCCAGTTGTCCGGCAGTCCGCCTATAAGGGGCCACGGTTCACATTCTCCAAGACAGGGGCTTCGGGCCTGGGGAGAGCCTAGGGCCTCTTGTCTGAAAACCACCCCCATCTCAGCAGAGGAGACCATGTCTTGTGAGGGCGAACTGCCTTCCATCTGTCTCTTTCTCCACTTTGTTTTTTAAAATTCATTGTATTTATTAGATATGCTATTACACAATGGTCCCTTGACACAGTTCGCGCTGCAGAGAGGCGGCCCTGCCATCAAGCTGTACGCGGCAGCTGACAACATTGGGTGTCTTGTGCACGCACACGTGCACGCTCAGACGTGGGCACGCACCGCTGTCAAGCATGCAGACATCACGGGCTGGGGTTGGCCCTACCTCCCTCTCCTTCCTGGAAAAGTCTCGGAGACTCTGAATTATCCATGCTAATGGGGGAGAGGCAGCAGGAGTGGACCACGTGCAGGGTCCCAGTCCCCTCCCTGGCCAAACACAAATGGTTAACGAGCCACTGGTTTTGATGGATGGGAGTTTGGAAAACTTTCCTTTCTTGCCTGCTTGTGGAGGTGCTAATGAGTAGTAGGAAGCCCACAGAGAAAGGGGAAGCAAAAAGCCTGAGCAATCCACTCCCTGAATAATCAGCCCTGAATAATTGACAGCTGACTTGTAATTGCGATGGTCTCAGCACAGAGACGCTGAGGTTGGAAGACGGGGACCGGGCAGAAGAGAGTGGCGGGGTTTGGAGAGAGGGCTGCCACTCCGGATCGATGCTGGGCAAAGCAACTGGGGTGGAGGGCGAGGCTGGGGGGGATGAGGGGAAATTTTTTATTACAATTTTAAACTACAAGGGCAAAGGGCTAGCACTGCTGGGGAAGGTTGCAGGGAAGAGGAGGGGAGCAACAGACACAGGAAGGAGCAATATTTCTTTCCCGACAGTAAACAACTGCCAAATAAACCCCAGAAATGACACCGTGAGAGCGTCTGTGGGAAGCTCAGAGAGCTGCTCGTCCTGAAAGAGTTATTGGTTTTGTTCAAGCTTCATCTGATGCTCGCTTAAAAAAATAGATTTTGTTTCCCCTCTTGCAACAGTCTGGAGGGGAAAATCAGCGCATAACATCTGCCTCGTGTCATCGTTTAGACGCTTATGAATAAACTGACACTGGCAGGGATGAGCAAATAGATCGTGAAATTCGGGACCCAGCCAACTGCCGATTATCTCTCGGTGGATTACCCACTGGGGGATCGTTCAGAGGAAATGTCCCACCCCAGGGCGGAGTCCTTCCTGCCACGCAGACGGAACTAGGCTTTGCCTTCCAGCTTCTGAGCACACAGAATGTGGACAGGCAGTGGTTAAGAGCGTGGTTGGTGCAGGCAGGCAGGCAGATCTGCGGTTGAATTTGTCCCTTGCATGCACTAGCGGAAAGGTCTTGGGCAGTGTCGCCATTTCTCTGAACCTCTGTTTCTTCAACTCTAAGATGAGGAAGACAGTGATTGTGGCTTTACCTGCTTTGCTTATCAGTCAATAGCCATGAGCCGTGCATTTCCAGCCTCCTTCGCACTTGGACTGGCCACGTGACCAGTCCAGCCTGTGTGGTTTGAGTGAGGGTGATGTGTAACACTTCTTGGCTGAGGCGGGTGCATGTACAGTGCGCCCTCCCCTCCTTCCTCTCCCCCATCTATGGTGCGGCTGCACCATGGAAGATCCTGGGTCCCTGAGTCACTGCATGGATGTGAGCCATGCAGAAGAGGCAGCTGAGAAAGAAGCCTTTAAGGTTTTGAAATGTTTATACCAGGAGCTGGTATCAACTACCCCAGTGAATACAGTAGAGCTTCCTTGGGAGTTATTGTGAAAAATTAAATGAGGGAAGCAGAGGTTATAAGAGCTTAGCAAAGTTCCTGGCATATAGAGAATGCTTAGTACATATTAGGTATAAGTATAAATTTATTTGCTCAGCAAGTATTTATTAAGGTTGGATCATGGGCCGGGCATGTGGAAAAACAACAACAACAGACACATAAAGTCATAGTTTGGATTGCATATTGGATGGTGGGTGCACTCCACAGCAAAATAGAGAAGATTCAGTCGTTCATTCCGTCAGTGTTTCTTAAACCCTACCCTGCACCAGGCGTTGTGATGAGTGGTGGGGATGTGGGGTTGAATAAATCAGTTTTTACTCTTAAATTGCTTGCAGGCTACTGGAAGATGTACAAGTAGACGCATAATTCAAATGCCAAGTGACAAGTATCAGAGAGAGAGATTTTCCTAACATACTAGCCGTGTCACTAGTTCTGCTTGGGGGAATTAGGAAAGGCTTCCCAGAGGAAGGGGGCTTTTGAGTTCAGCCTTGAAGGTCTGAGTAGGAATTGGGCAGACGAGAAAGAACTTTGCAGGCAGAGGGACCAGTACACAGTGATGAGGTCTTGTGTTTGATGAGATGTGATGAGTGCTTTGGTGGCTGGAGTCTGGGGTATCTCTGCTCAGCAAAATAATGTCCCCTTCTCCAAAGATGTCCACATCATAAGCCCCTGTAACCTGTGACTATGTTATTTTACATGGTGAAGGGGACTTTTTTTCAGATGTGATCCCATTAAGGATTTCGAGGTGGGGACATTAGCTTGGATTATCCAGATGGGACTGACCTAATGACACGAGTCCTTGAAAGTGGAGAACCTTCCCCAGCCGTCGTCAGAGACAGAGGTGTGTCTGTGGAAGGAGAGAGATTCAACACGGCAGGTTTCCAGAGCGGAGGGAGGGAGCCCCCAGGCGAGGCAGGTAGGCGGCCAGGAGGAGCTGCAAATGGAATCTTCCCTGGACCTTCCACAAGGGAACGTGGCCGCCCCCACCTCCACTGTAGCGCATCGAGACCATGGTGGACTTCTGACCTGTAAGATGAAGATTTTGCATATTTTAAGCCATGAAGTTTGTGGTAATCTGTTACAGCAGCAACAGAAAACTAACGCAGTGTCTGCTGGGGAATGTCAAGAGACCACAGGGGACAGGAGGGGCAGGCGGAGATGTCTGGACTTACCCTGCACGAGCAGTGGGTCTCAAACTTCAGTGCGGTCCCCACGTTGTTGTGTGACGTTAATATTCTGCATACATTTAAATTATTATTGATAGTCCGTCTTAATAATATCAGAGAGAGAGAGAGAGATGCCTTATTTGTTTTAATGGGTGTGAGCCTTCCATAAATTGAGTTTATGTTTCTTATTTAATTAGTGGAAATTTAGGTTATTTCCAGTCCTTTGCTATTAAAATAATGCTGCAGTGAATGATCTTGACCTTGTGTTATTTTGTACACGTGAATAATGTCTGTAAGATGAATTCCCAGAAATGAAATCGTTGGGTCACAAAGAGCACGCATCTTTAGGAGCCTGCATTTTCCATAAATGTCTGAGGGCGCGGTGATTGTCGTGAGAACGGAGGGCAAGTGGAGGTTCCTGAACAGAATTCAGATATGGGCTCTGCACACTCCCCCGTGGCCAACGGTGCAGAGGCAGCGGGCCTGGAGAGAGATGAGTGCGTGTGTGTGTGTGTGTGTGTGTGTGTGTGTGTGTGCGCGCGCGCGTGTGTGCGCTCTCTCTCTCTCTCTCTCTCTCTCTTTTAAATCAGTGCGGGCAATTCCTTGGAAATGACAGGTCCTTCTTCAGTGGCCCCAGGTTAGAGAGCCTCTGGGGATGGCGTCCCTGAGGACAAGTGAGGCCCACTATGTGTGCACGTCAGGCCTGAATTCTAATTGTCCCTCTCTCCTGCCTGGTCGTCTTAACCTGGGGTAGATAACTAACTTTGTGGTTATTAGAGGGCAGGGAAGGAGAGAAGTGTGTTATTGCAGTCTTTAAACCAGGTGTTTAGAGGATCAGATCACTTCTAAGAAACACGTGGTGACAAGCGTTCACCCTGCATCTGACCTCCTGTTGTTTGGTTTTTCTGTGATTTTTATAGTGTCAAGGTGCTCCGGCTACAGTGTTTCCAATTGTTTCATTTTGGTCGTGTGCTTACATAGATTCCTTACTCGCCCTGGTGTTTTTACTATGAATTCCCCATTCCTTGGGTTTATTTTCATGCTTCCCCGGGTGCGCTGGATTTCAATGTCAGCTAGCTTTTTCCAAGAGTGGCTCATGGATACGATTGTCTCCAAGCGCTTCCACGTCTGGGAATGTCTGCCTACAGCCTTCACGCTTGAACCTGCAGCTCATCTGCCTGCAGCCTCGCCAGGACTATGCTCACGAGTCTCCCTGGGGAAGAGCCCCGGGCCTGTTTCTTCCATCCTTCCTCCTGAGGATGGGTTGGGGACCAGTGCTGCTTGGGCTGCCTGGTGGCTCCTGAGCTTGGGGAATTCCGTAAGGGGGCCAGGAACAGAAAACAGCATAATTTGGAGTGAGGAACTTTGGCTGCCAATTTTAGGGCAGCCGACCAAGAGATTATCTATTTCTCTTCCCTCGTACGTTTGGGATATTTGTTACTCTAAAAATATCCGCGGCGGCTGTGTACAGCCGTGCAGGCTCTGCGCTGCATGACTCCGAGGAGTGTCATTCCCATGAACTGTGGCGTGAAAGGCGCTCCCAGTTTTGTGTACTGTGAACTCGCAGCCTGGAGCGGACCTAGAATGTAGGATTCTTTTATCCCAGTGTTTTCTAGACTGGTCATTTTTATTTCACCTGTATAAATTTATTCCTAGCCACATTCCTTGTTCTACTATGATATTTTTTAATTTACATTTGGCTCCAATTTTCTTACATAAATGAATTTAAAAGGGAAGCTTTCTATCATAATTGCAAGTGGAACACCAGTGCAACTGGCTAAAAATAGAAGAAATATATACGTACAGGTGTGTGTGTCTATGCGCATGTGTGAGTATAGAACAAAAACAATGCTATCAAATGCCGGCTGAGTCCTTTGGCCTTTTCTCTCTTTTTAAAATAGGAGATCAGCTAGTATTAGAGTGATGTTAAAGACAGGCTAGCACAACTGAAATTTTCTCCTGGAAGTAATCTGAAGGGTGGGAAAGGAATTGGGAGGTGGAATCGTTCCCCACGATGCAATTCGGTGTAATTTAGCACCACGTCCCCTCGTCACGAGCATCCGAGGGACCTGTGCAAACAGTGGCCCGGCCGATCCTCCACCAGCTGCTCCAGCATCTTGGTGGCTGCTTCACCTGGTGGTCCAAGCCTTTTGTAGATGCTTTCGCTGCTGGGAAGTTTAATGCCACCACGGAGGGGCTTTTCCCGAGGCCGGACCGTGCTTTGGTTGCACTGGACGGAGTCCCGCTCCCTGGGGCCACTGGGTTTGGTTTGCTTCCTGGAGTCAAGCGGAGTAGATCAAATCCTTCTTCCAAGTTCCACCCCTCCAAGTGGGGCCCCTGCAAGTGGGGGCCCCTGCAAGTGGGGGCCCCTGCAAGTGGGGGCTCTGGAGTTGTAGTGCTTGGGTTGGGGTCCCGCATCCACCACTTGCTCTCTGCGCCTGCAACGAAGGTTTACTGTGCCTCAGTTTCTTCATCCGAAAAATGGGAATAACAAGAGTACCTTTTTAATATGGTTGTTATGAGAATTAGACATTCAAACAGCCCCTGCCACATCGTAAGTTCTCAATCTGCATGAGCTGCTGCTGTTATTTTCTGTGGCCGGGGACCGTGGCGACCTAGCCTCTCATGCCTTCTTCTGGATCGCAAGGCGGAGGACTTGCGTCCCAACTTCAGCTTAATATCTGACCCACGATGTGATCTTAAGCTGCGTAAGAACCTCGCTGGGCCTTGGATTCTTCATCTGGGAACTGAGGGAGGTGGGCTCTGTGGCCCCTAGTCCCTCCCCCTCCCATCTGTAGCAGAGCTGGGTAATTTGGCGCCAAGTGAGGACAGAGGAAGGACTGTGCTCTGTGGTGGGCAGGTCTATGCGGACCTACCTCCAAAGGCTGTAGGAGCTGAGAGGCCAAAGAACTGGAAAGTCCAGTTTCTCAGAAAGAAATATTTAATAGGGACTCATGAACAGAAGTGATGTATCAGGTGGCTGTGAGACGGTGGGTCCCCACACCCATCCTCCAGAAAGTGTCCTTTATATAGCAAGCGTCTAGGGTGAAAGTGCAGCGGGTCATGCCTCACACTGTCTTGCAAAATTCGTGTCCACTGGGGAAGTCAGAAAAGCATCTTTATGAGGAGTTATCTACACTAGGGCATTGCTGCTGCTGCTGCTGCTTGCTTTTTTTTTTTTTTGAGACAGAGTCTCACTCTGTCACCCAGGCTAGAGTGCCGTGGCATCAGCCTAGCTCACAGCAACCTCAAACTCCTGGGCTCAAGCGATCCTCCTGCCTCAGCCTCCTGAATAGCTGGGACTACAGGCACGCGCCACCATGCCCGGCTAATTTTTAAAAAAATATATATATCTATTTTAGTTGTCCATCTAATTTATTTCTATTATTTTAGTAGAGATGGGGTCTCACTCTTGCTCAGGCTGGCCTTGAACTCCTGAGCTCAAACAATCCACCCGCCTTGGCCTCCCAGATTGCTAGGATTACAGGCGTGAGCCACCGCGCCCAGCCAGGCATTGTTTCTTTATGAGGGTTGTCTATGCTAAGGGCATTGTTTAAAGATCTTGCTGCAGGTGTTTTGGTCCACTATGGCAGTTTTGCTTCAAGATGGCGCCACTCTTGCCATGCAACCAGCTGTCTTCCTCTCCTCCTCCGCCCCTGAAACCGGCAGTTACAATCTCATGTGCCCACCTCTTCCACAGTAGTCTCTGGGCCTAGAGGGAGGCTGCCTCATGTTGTACGGTTTAAGCAGCGGTGTGTTGCAATGGGAAACAGATCAGGCCCAGGAGGATTCCATGTGAGGAAGGTTCGCAGGCTTTGTTGAATCATCTCAGGTCTTTGGAATACCATGATCTTGGTTTTCTTGGAAGATGTAAAACAACGAGAGATACATAACATTAATAATTTGAATAGTAGAAATACGATAGGATTACGATAACAAAGAGATTTTGTATGTCAGAACAGGGGAAAAAAAAAAAAACCAAACCTATTCCATTAGGTATCCAACTAAAAACATCACGAAGAAAACTAAATCCCAGTTCTTCTTTAGAGACTTCCTGTAGCCATGAAATAATTCAGGATTCAGTCCAAATTGTAGGCAAATGATGAAAACTCAAAAATAATGGTCAGGGTTGGAATCTAATAACAGTGTGTTGTAGTTTTCTTCTGAAAGAAGAAATCTTTTCTGAAACATAATTTTTCTCTCTCCACTCCTTTTTTTACCAAAGCGAAATCATAGTAAGACCAATTTATTTGCAAAATAAGTTTCAGTTTTGTTTTACTTGGCCTGATTATTTGCATCAAGAATAATGATTTGCAACAAGAATTGTGATTGGCCATATGGGCTCTTTTTAAGTTGGCTTGTCTGGAACTTTCATACGGAATTTCAGATTAGACTTTTAAAAGCTGCTTGAGGCTAGAAAGCCACGCCAAGAATTCGCCATCGGACCGTACCAGCAATGTCTGTACAAATTGCGCGAATTCCTCTCTTCCTGAGGTCCAAAAATATCTTGAAGTTCCTGGGCCTGTTAGAAAGTCACATACTTTACTAACTGCAAGGTCAGGAACCTGGTAAGGGAACCGTATAGACGAGGCACCAGGCCAGTCCTTCTAGAGGGCCTTTTATGGGTTCTATAAAGTCAACCTCAATTCCTCGAAGTGGTCTGATCTTGGCTTAAAATATGTCATTCCAGTCAGAGCCTTGGCAAAATAACCAGTGTCTCCAATGTGTCCTGCTACAAAAGGAAACATATTCTTATTGAACTTATGCAAATAACTGTATTGTCATAAAATAAGAATACTCACGAACAGTTTCCAAATTTTGGAGAAATCAGGTTGAGGGAAAGGTAAATGTTTCAGTTTTGCTCACAAAAGTCTATTTTGACCAATTGCTGTAAGCTATAAATAGCTCAAAAGAAAGAAAAAATTTTTTTTGACTCTGAAAAACAAAACATAAAAAGAATTAGCAATGTTTCAAGCAGAAGAGTCATTAAAATTATTTCAGTCCTCTATTAGTTCAGTCCCATGTAATTAATTCTTGTTCTGCTTGATGTTGAGTTAGAAATCCTCATGAAAATAACCATCTTTTAAATTAAAGCCCTGAATGTTTTTTTCCTAGTTCAGTGGTATGATCTCCAAAGTTATCAGATACCTGTATTCAAGATTACTTGTCAGGGTCCTTTGCATGAATTTCCTTGAAGATGTAACACTAGGATTTGCAAAAAACATCAAAATAAAGCAATTTACTGCATATACCAAGACATATCAGATTTTTAGGAACCACATGCAATTTTGGAATACATATTAATAACATACTTATACAAATATAACTCAAAGGAAGTTAAATACCATTTCTTATTTGACAATGTTTCCCATATAATTTTAACATGCCAAAGAAGCCTAATATGTCTCTCTTGGCCTTTCAGGGCCCTATTTGTTATGACCAAGTTAGTCTGGGTCAAAAAGACTTAATTTTAGAATTTGAAATTTGATTTTGGGAAGTATGCCAAATAGCAAAGGTTTAAAACACTTGGTATCAAAATAAGAAAGGTTTAAAACACTTGATCAACATAGGATCACAGGTCACTGTAAAATAATAGTCATTCATTTAGCCAAAGTGATAATTCAAAGATTTCTAAAAGCAAAAACCTTTACTCTTTGATGGAGAGGAGATTCAGTTTTCCAAACAATCAAAAGACCTAGTAAAGACAGCATGAGACTGTTTCTCCCTCTCTCCTTTTTCAAAAAATTATAGTTTACTCAAAGGTAACAAAAAATGTTATCTCTTATTAATACTGCATGGAAAACATGTTCAAAGGAGAAAACCAAATTTTACTTTCATATTAATATATTAAGGCTAAAGCTAATTTTAATAAAACCCATAAACAAATCCATCCAATCACAGTTTTTGACCATACAAGATAAAATTTCCATAAATGTTTTATAACCTCTTATAAATTTTTTATGTAATTTTTTTTCTATTTTTCACCAACTTCTTGGATCCATTTAGTTTTATCTATATCATTTTCCTTCATTTTGAAACAACCTTTAAATAACCTCTAAATTAGACAAAACTACTTTTCCTCTATCAAAACCACATCCTTGTGTCTTTTTAATAACTTCATCATCAAAACACACTTACTTTCTTTATAAACTCTCCATATAGAATTGTCTTATATTTACTAGTTTTAATTACATGCATTAACTACAATTTTAACTCTTAGTAACCCTAATTTCTAATAAAACACCTAATAAGTAAGTAATTTTAAACTGTTTTAGATCAGTATTTGTAGATGAAAGCCGTTTCATAATTTTTCAGAAAGATGTGTCCTCAATTTTTTGTTTATGAACAGATCAAAATATATTTAACTTTTCTATACCGTATGAAAATAAGATGCCAAAGTATGTAAACTTAAACTTATGTTTAATAATTTAATGTTTCATTATTTTAACTTACCTAGAAATGACTCAGACATTTTATGATTATCTGTTCTTTAATGTCATATGACTTTAACATTCTAAATTCCTGAAAAGAATGTTGAACCCATGAAATAGGTGCTCTCTCTAATGTCTTCCGTAGTCATTCTGGGTCCCAAGTACCCATGTGGTACCCAAGGATGACTATGAAGGGTGGGGTCCATTGGGGTTCTGAATTTATACACCAAGTGTATACAGAGGACAGAGCTGGGAAGAGAATGTCTGACCCTTCCCAGCATACTCAGGTGGCACAGGTGGGCCAGGGAGAACTCCACGTATGTCCCAAGTTTCACCATGGCCATTTGTTTAGAGCCCAGAAACTAACGGCTCTATGACATAGGTTCATAGATAGAAGCAACAGCTTTATGATCTTAAAACATCTAGCAGAGATAGCCTAAATCTGACCAGTGGGCCCACGTGAAAATGTCTGACTTACAGTTAATACTGACAATCCTGAAGGCATTCCTATTTTGTGTATGTGTGTGTGTGCGTGTGTGTGTGTGTGTATATATATATATATATATTTTTTTTTAGTTGTCCAGCTAATTTATTTCTATTTTTTTTTTTTTTAGTAGAGGCAGCGTCTCGCCCTTGCTCAGGCTGGTCTTGAACTCCTGAGCTCAAACGATCCTCCCGCCTCAGCCTCCCAGAGTGCTAGGATTACAGGCGTGAGCCACCTCGCCCGGCCTCCTATTTTGTTTTACTAACAATTTAAAAACTAGTTTTATTTACTGAAGACAACTAAAGTCATGTGAACTTGAAAAATATTTGGGCTTATTAATTTGTCGCCACTCATTTATTTATAAGTCGATCTGGTACCAGGTAGACAATATACAAACCGACAGGTGCACAGGTATGCATAAAAATACAGACAGATAAAGATTTTGTAGCTTTGATTTCAAAATTTTAACCACGCGGTAGGTAAAACTCACTAGTTTAAAAGGACAGTTGGATTCAAACTTTATTAATGGAAAAAGTTAAAGTTTATCCGTTCTACATGGCCAAAGCCCTTACTGAGTTTTAGAGCAAACAAGGTAGCAAATTTACACATTGAAGTACAGAGCCAGAATGTAAGCTTTTTAAAGAAGGATTTGGATGGGTTAGAGGGAGATTAAAAATGAATGCCAAGGTAACACAAAATCATAGGAAATCACCGCAGGATTTTATAAGGAGACCAATTTTGTTTAGATCGTTAGCTTCTAATTTAGTCTCTGTGCTCAGGGCAGAGCCCGTTATCACACAGGGCCGACAAAGCATCGGCAGTTTCCAGGGCCTGATACTTGCACATGTGAAAAGCAGGCACAGCTGGAAGGCAGAACACTTAGGCGGCCCAAAATCAAGGATCCCATTTTGAAGCCTGGGTCCCCCAAAAGAGGGATGCACCATGGGACTGGACAGTGCAACCCTTCCACAGTGCACCTTGCTGCAGGGACAGCCCCGGGGCTGGTGGGCAGCCCAGCGCCCATGGGCCCACTCTGTGGTCAGCCCATCCCCCACACGAGTCTTATCCCTCGGTGTCGCGTGTCTTCATACCTCTGGGTATCCAGACCACACTCTCCCTGTCTAAACACACAAAGAGACGGGCAGTCCCCTGCAGTGACAGCCACGCACTGTGAACGCTGCCAGCCACTGCACACGCAGGGGTCATGTTCTCTCATAGCGCAGAGTAATTCCCGGGGCCCCCCCAAAGCCAAAGAGATGAGGGGCTCAGTGCAAAAGACAGCAGCACTCTAGACCGGAGGGACACCCTCCCGTGACCCCTGGGACTCTGAGAGGAAGACAGAAGAGCCCCAAAAGGAGGCGTGTGGGACTATCTCCTGCGTTCTTCAAGAAGTCCCAGGGCCACTAGCAGTCACCTCTAGGTTTCTTCATGTTGTACCAAAGATGGCAACAGGAAGGAGCAGCACAAGTGGAAGGGGATGGAAAAACAAGTCTTAGAGGCAAAAATCAAACCAACGAGAAAGGCACCAAACATATAATTTTTTTTTTTTTTTTTTTTTTTTTTGAGACAGAGTCTCAATAGTCTCACTCTCTTGCCTGGGCTAGAGAGCCGTGGCATCAGCCTCGCTCACAGCAACCTCCAACTCCTGGGCTCAAGCGATCCTCCTGCCTCAGCCTCCTCCCGAGTAGCTGGGACTACAGGCATGCGCCACCACGCCCGGCTAATTTTTCTATATATATTTTTAGTTGGCCAGTTAATTTCCTTCTATTTATAGTAGAGACGGGGTCTCGCTCTTGCTCAGGCTGGTTTCAAACTCCTGACCTTGAGCAATCCTCCCGCCTCGGCCTCCCAGAGTGCTAGGATTACAGGCGTGAGCCACCGCTCCTGGCCCAAACATATAATTTTTAAAAGGAGTTTTAGTCAAATGAAAAAAAAAAATTCCCAGAAACAGGATAAAGGCCTTTCTCCTCCCTAAAAATGATAGCCTGACCATCAACTTTTAATTAAGCAGACTTCTGACCATAGAGCTCTTAAAAAATCTAATTGTAATTCCTCCTTAAGCTGTTTTGCTTCTGCTGCCAGCTGGGCTTCCGTCGCCAAATGGGCAGCCCATGGGAGTGGCCATGCTAGTGTTTTGGGCCATCTCCGTTCCCACGTGGTGGTCCACAAGCGCCTAAAAGGTGAGCACACCATTGCACATAGACGTGGCTGTCTACACTGGGATTTGCCCTACGGAGACTGCCTGCCTTTTGTCCACATCTTGCCAAATGCTCAGCACTGAGCAAGTATGTACAAACCTACTCTCAAAGGCCAAGGGAGCTAAGAGGCTGAAGATGGGCTGATAATTCCAGTTTCTCAGAAACATTTATTTTTTTGAGACAAGATCCCACTCTGTTGCTTGAGCTAGAGGGCAGTGGTTTCAGCCTAGCTCACAGCAATCTCAGATTCCTGGGCTCAAGCAATCTTCCTGCCTCAGCCTCCCGAGTAGCTGGGACTACAGGCGGGTGCCGCTCCGCCTGGCTAATTTAAAATTTTTTTGTAGACATGGGGTCTTGCTATCGTTCAGGCTGGTCTCGAACTCCTGGCCTCAAGTGATCCTCCCACCTTGGCTTCTCCAAGTGCTAAGGTTACAGGCGTGAGCCGCCGTGCCCAGCCATAATGGGGTCTCATGAACAGAAATGATGTCTTGGGCAGCTGTCACATGGTGGATCCCCACACCCGCCCTCCAGAAAGTGTCCTTTATATAGCAAGCTTTTAGGGTAAAACATGAGCAGTTGGTCGTGCCTTAGATTTTCTTAGGATCGTGACCACCGGGGAGGTTAGATAAGCATCTTTATGGGGGTTATCTATACTAGGGCATTGCGTCTTTATGAGGGGTTGTCTATGCTATGGGCATTGTTTAAAGACCTCGTTGCAGGCGTAAAACATCAGTCACCATGGCAGTTTCCCTTCAAGATGGTGTCACTCTCGCCAAGCACCAGGCTGTTATCCTACAAACTGGGGTGCAGATAATCCTGGGCAGTAATCTCAGTGTTAGCTATCGTATGCCTCAGACAAACTACCCAATAGCCCCCTCCTGCCTTTTTGATTTCTCTTTCAAAACATGCTTTTGGGGAATGGCATAGGACAGCTCCAGAAGGCTTCCTCCTAGTGTCATAAAAGGGCAGGAGTAAGACTGAGGTAGAGGGGAGAAAGGTTTGCCTCACTTTAGACCAAACCCAACATACGGGGTGAAATAAAAAAAAATCACTAAACCCTTTATGTATCAGGCTTCCCTGTAAGACAATGGCCATCACTGAGTCCTTGTCACGTGCCAGGTGTCTCACCCGTGTTAGTTACCTGTCTGAGCCCCAGCTGCCCCGTGCATGGGGCGGCACCAGCTAAGCCCGGAAATGTCGCAGGGTTAACCATAGATGTTTATTTCTTGCTCACGTGACCCTTCAGTACAAGTCATTCTGACAGGTGGCGGTTCTACTCCATGTAGTGATTTGGGGACTGGACAACTTCCATATCGTGGCCCTGCCATTTCCTAGGGCCCTAGAACCCCCTGTGTGGAGGTGGGAGAGGAAAGGGGAGACACGCCCACTTCGTACATGAGGGCCCCCCAGGAAGTGCCCCACATTCGCTCATGTTGCACAGGCAACAGCCGGTCACACGACCCTACCACGGTGCAGGGGCTGCTGGGAAATACCGTGCCCGGCTGGGCAGCCCCTTCTTAGCAGCAGCTCACGCTACGGAAGGAGCAGCATGTTTGTCGGTGGAGAGCTAGCTGTTCCTGTCACACCTTACTTATGCGGTGGAGATGACAGTTACACCCATTTTACAGATGTGGAAACTGAGTCCCAGAGAATCTGGCCCTGGGTCACAGAGCTTGTGAGTGGCAGAGCTGGGGCTTGAGCTCAGGACGCCAGGAGCTCGGGGCTCTTACATTTAACCACTGCGATGCTGGCTTTAGATAAGCATGTAGGTTCTTCCGCTTTAAAATGCTTCCCTTGGTTTACCCACAGTGCCCCAAATGCCCAAGCAAGGGATGACTGGGGGCTGGGACCACACAGTCACGATGCCAGGCAGGGTTTCAGTCTTCCGTATTTCATCCACTTGTAGAAACGATCATCCCCAGAAAGTTGACCCACATTTTGGACTCCAGCCAGAAATCAAGGCATGGCACCATCTGTAAGAGATAAATAAATCAAAATATCATCAGCAGATAAGTGTGTGCCATCTGCTGCCCTGTCAGTTGAACTGGCAGAAGCCTCTGGAGAATTCCAAGGAAGCGCTTGCCAAGCCTCTACCGCCGGCCCAGATAGCGAGAGGAGAAGCTTCGTGCAAGATCTGCTGGTATTTTTTCCCTCCTCTCGGCTCCTGGTGCCGAATTCCTTGAATCCAGCTGGCGAAGATGCGGGAACTTTTGCCCTTGCCAGACAGTTCAAATCGTTTCACATTGGCCACGTTTTTGGGGGAACGAGGACCGATTCTACTTTGCCCTCCCAGCAAGTCGAAAGCACTTACCATAGAGAAAAGCAACCGTGCGCGGGCCAGGAAGCCGAGCCGCTTGTGCAATGCGGGTCCCAGAACCAGAGCCAG